AAATTGTGCGCACAGGGTTTCTATTTCACAAAAAAAAAAAAAAAAAAAATTTTCTTTTTAACTCTCCCCCCTCTGCCCCCGCCAACACGATCCAGAGGGGGGGGAAACTCCCCAAAGACGGGAGAAAACACCCCAAAAGTGGCTCCCAGGTGCTTCCAACTTCCCGGGTCCCGTCTGGCTCCGACAAAACCCGCTGTTTATCCCGTTTTCTAACTAAACGCAACACGAAGGCAGCGGCGGGTGAGTCCTGGGGGGACACGACACCCCCGGACACCAGGACTGGGCCCTGGTGATCCCCACGGCGATATCCCAAATCCCACGGGAGCGGAGCAGCCGCTGGGGAGCCTCGGCCGGTGCCAGCGCGGGGGGGACGAGTCTGGGGAACGTTCCAAAACCCAAGAGAACAAAACTGGGATCGCGGAGGAACGAAACCATCCGTCGGCACGGAGCGGGCGGTGAGCCGGTGACGGCGGAGCCTCTGGTGACACACGGAGCTCCCGGAGGTGTTCAGAGCTCCCGGCATCTCCGTTATTTCCGACAGGTCCGGTGCGGCGTCTGCTTCTTCTGCACCTCCAGCCGGCAGCGGCTGCGCTCATCCAGCCACGGCAGCTCGAAGTTCCTGTGGGCACAGATGGTGTCACCACAGCACCAGACCGACCAGTGCCCTCCTGGGGGTGACACCAGACTGAGGCCCATCCCATCCCTGTCCCTCGTGCCCCCTGTACTCACTGTGGGGTCAGTTTGGGTAGGGGCCGGCCAAAGGCGACGACGGGCAGGTACGGGGTGATGAGCAAACTTTCCACTGCAGAGAGACACCAGAACGTGAGACCCCCCTGTCTGCACCCCAACAACCCCATCTGCACCCCAGCACCCCTGTCTGCACCCCAATACCCCTGTCCGCACCCCAACACCCCTGGGTCCCAGCTCACCGTCATCTGGCTCAGGGAAAAATGAGGTAACTTCAGGTTCCGACTCCTGAATCCCTTTCCTTTTGTACATTCGGAGCTGCAGCCGCTGCAGGATTCTCTGTTCCCTGATCCGCTGGATGTCCCACCTGGAAAAATGGGATGGATGGGAAAGTGAGGAGCCACGGGCAGTGAGGATCCCGGGGGGATCAGGGGGCTGTGCCGGCTGCCAGTGACATAGGAGCATCCCTCCTCCCACAGCATTCCCAGCTCCCACCCCAGTTGCGCCCTGTCCCATCCTCCTGCTCCAGGTGACACCCCAAGACCCTTCTCTGCGGGACCAGGGACCCCAGACCCCCCTCGGTCCCCTTGCTCCCACCTTTTCCTTCGTTTCTCATCCAGCTCCAGCTTCGCGTGCCGTTTGGAAAAGACGCTGTCGTCCAGGTTCTGCAACGACACCGGACAGGGATCAGCACGTCATCCCGGTGCCAGATCCTGCTCCCACAGCCCCAGGAGGGGCTGGTCCTTTCCCCCCCCAGGTCCAGGAGTGTGGAACAGCCCAGAAGGCCCCTGTGGCACCGCCGGCTCCGATGGGAGCTGCTGTGGGATGGCTCACATACCTCCAGGAGGTCCGAGGGGTTGGGGTCTCTCAGGGGCTCCACGACATGGTCCCTCCAAGACGGAACTGCGGGACGAGAGGGAGGCTGTTACCCCACACTGGGACCTCCACACCCCCTGCCCCACCTTTCCCTCCTACCCCTCCCTCGGAGCACAGCTTAGGATCTCCCAAACCCTCATCCCAAGCCAGGCCAGGCGATGCTGCTGCACCAGGAGCTGATGGGGGCCTGGGGGGAGGCAGAACTTGTCGTCACCCCTTTGGCCAAGCACATGAGCAAACCTGAGCCACTTCCAGGGATGTGCTGAGCTCTCCCCACGCCGGAGCACTTGGCCACCTGGCAGGACAGGTACCGGATTCAGGGACAGCGGGTGACCCCGGTGCTGTGGCACGGTGGCATGAGCCAGAGCACGTTTCCCAACCACCCTGGGGAAGTTGCTTCACCCCTCACTCCAACAGACACCAGTGGAGTGGGGCCAGGAGCCCTGCCCAGAGCGAGGTGAGCCGGAGACAAGATCTGGGAGAGCCCAGAGCCAGCACCCACCACCGTGGAAGGAGCCAGCAGCGTGGCACCTCTCCCAGCACCACGGGCACTCCCTTTGGGAATCTGGGAGCCCTGTCCTGGATTCAGGATGAAGGTGCCGAGCCGCATTCCCTGGCCAGCTCAGCCCTAGCAGCTTCTCCACCGTTCTCTCCATCCTTACTTGCTACAGTCTCCTCCTTTTTCGGGGAAGGCTCCCGCAGCGGCAGCGGCGACGGGGGCGGCTGGTGCCAGCGGCACAAGTACATTTCGGTGGTGGAGAGATAGGGCAGGTCGTCGGCCTCGCTGCCCAAGCCCTTCTCCTTGGGGTGGGTGCCGGGGCCCTTCGGCGGGGCCGAGGCCCGGAGCGGGGTCTCCAGGAGTGACCGGGGTTTTTCCGGAGTCTCTTGGCTCCGCAGTTCTCGTTTACAAACAGTTTCGGCCAAGGAGCCGCCTGACTCCTCCTTCCCCGGGGAGTGCTTTGGAGTTTTACTCTTCACTTTGGAGAACTCGGACACCAGTTTTTTAACGGGCGTCTTCCTCTCCGCGCTCCCGAACGTCGGCTTCCTGCGGGAGGGAGAGGAGCTGAGCCAGGCACATGGATCCTCACCCTGCACCAGGGCCACCACGGGGGGGTCCAGCACCCCCAAACCTGGGCTGTTGCATCAGGGCAGGAGAGAGGCAGTTTCCAGAGGGCCTTCCCCGGAATTTTGGCCCCCCTCCCTCTCCCCCCAGGCTTTCACCAGATTCTCCAGGATGCAGGGATGTATTCCTAGTGCTGGGCAGCCTCTCTGAGAAGCTCAAGTGTTGCTGGGAGCCCCATGGACAGAGGATAAAGCCATAGGGAATGTCCCCCCTTTCCCCCACGCAGCCCCCCAGGCACCCCATACCTTTTATGCCCCTTCCCGTTCCTGCCGTAGGGGAAGTGCTTGGGCTGCAGGGTCGGGGGGGGCTCCAGCAGGTCCTGGGGACACTCTAGAGGCAGCTTCTCACATGCCTCTGCCTCTGGCTTCTCATCCACCTCAAAGCCCTGGAAGATGCGGTGCTTCTCCCGCTCGCTGTCCTTCTTCACCAGCTGCACCCGCCTTTCCATGCGCTCGATCCGCGCCAGGAGCTGCAGGGCAGGTGAGGGAGGGCTCAGTTTGAGGGGGATTCCAATAGAATTGTGGAGTGGTTTGGGTTGGAAAGGACCTTAAAACCCATCCAGTCCCACCCCCTGCCATGGGCAGGGACACCTTCCACTGTCCCAGGTTGCTCCAAGCCCCCTTGGATACTTCCAGGGCTGGGGCAGCCACAGCTTCTCTGGGCAACCAGAGAATTTGGGGGTCCCAACCTCAGTATCCTCCCCAATGCTGCATGACGGAGGGGGGGGTTTGTAACTGCACGCGGGCTTAGAGAGCACCTGGTGGCACCTGCCCGTGGTCACCTGTCCCCAACTCTCCCCAGCCTCTGCCACAGCCGGGGGCTGCACTGTTTAGAAGGGGCGGTTTGGACAGTGCTGGGGGGGGCTCCCAGCACCCCCCAGGGACGTGGCTGGGAGGACACCCAGCCTCAGGGAATGGAGCCTGGTGCACTCGGGGTTTGCCAGCCCCACCTCCCCGCCGGTGTCACCCCGCAGGAAGCCCCGGGAAGCCCCTGAAGCGCCATCACGGCCTCACCACAGCGGCTCCTCCATGTTGGGGGATGCGGCATCGCCTGCGGCGGCACCACGTGGGGTGTCCCTGTCCTTCCCGCCACAACCTGGGCCACCACCGCTGCCACCGCAGCCACCACCGCCTGATGGCACACGGCCACGGCGCCGTGGGGCTGGCAGGGGGTGACCCACGGCCGCGGGGGGGAGGCAGACACGATCAGGGCACGCACAGCGTCCATGGGGTGACACGGGCAGCACACCCGGGGGAGAGGGGGGCACAGCTCAGCTGAGCCGTGGGGGCCCCGCAGTGCCCCCCCAAGGAAGGCTGGCAGCCTCTCGGGGCCGTGGGGGACGCCAGACCGCCGGGCTGGGCTGGGGGCAGTCCCCCCTCAGTGCGTGGCCCCGAGCAGCGGGTCCGTGTCCCGCCCGGTGCCCGCAGTGCCGCGGCCGCTTTAAGGGCCCCCCCCCGCCGGTCGCCACGGTGACGGGCGGCGGCCCGTTAACCCCCGACGGCCCGCCCCGCCCCCGCCCTTTGTGCCCCCGCGCCCTTTGTCTGGGGGGGGGGGGGCTGCGACCCCCGGGGGGCTCCCAG